AATTCAGTATGCCACTTTGTTACTTGATCCAGGTATAGTGAGCTGTATTCAGTATGCCACTTTGTAACTTTGTTACTTGATCCAGGTATAGTGAACTGCATTCAGTATGCCACCTTGTAACTTTGTTACTTGATCCAGGTATAGTGAGCTGTATTCAGTGTGCCACCTTGTAACTTTGTTACTTGATCCAGGTATAGTGAGCTGTATTCAGTATGCCACCTTGTAACTTTGTTACTTGATCTAGGTATAGTGAGCTGAATTCAGTATGCCACTTTGTAACTTTGTTACTTGATCTATGTATAGTGAGCTGTATTCAGTATGCCACTTTGTAACTTTGTTACTTGATCCAGGTATAGTGAGCTGTATTCAGTATGCCACTTTGTAACTTTGTTACTTGATCTATGTATAGTGAGCTGAATTCAGTATGCCACCTTGTAACTTTGTTACTTGATCCAGGTATAGTGAGCTGTATTCAGTATGCCACCTTGTAACTTTTTTTATGGACATTCACCATAATATTATTGACTCTTGTTATCACTTTTATTTGTATAGCAATGATTGGAATTGATGACCATCGTAAACCAGATTGGGGAAATGATGTTACATTTAATGAGGATGAAGTTCCTGTATTTTGGTCATGTGGTGTAACAACAGCAAATGCTATTGCTTCAGCTGGTCAGTATTAAATATTAAAAATCATTAGTCCCAAATAAAATGCAATTTTCAAAGGTTCTATCTCTGATATACAAAGTCGAAACAGAATGATTTGCATCTACATGGCAATTTGTTTTTAGTTTTTTAGGGAATAATGGCACAGTGGAAATGGCTTAGGCTGTAATAATGGCACAGTGGAAATGGCCTAGGCTGTAATAATGGCACAGTAGAAATGGCCTAGGCTGTAATAATGGCACAGTAGAAATGGCCTAGGCTGTAATAATGGCACAGTGGTAATGGCCTAGCTGTAATAATGGCACAGTAGAAATGGCCTAGCTGTAATAATGGCACAGTGGAAATGGCCTAGCTGTAATAATGGCACAGTAGAAATGGCCTAGCTGTAATAATGGCACAGTAGAAATGGCCTAGCTGTAATAATGGCACAGTGGTAATGGCCTAGCTGTAATAATGGCACAGTGGTAATGGCCTAGCTGTAATAATGGCACAGTAGAAAT